ATCTGCCCAAGGAGGGAGCTGAGCCATGGGGGAAGATACAGCCCAGGTCACCCAAGACTCATGCTGCCTCCCCACTATGGTCCTAGTTCAGTCGTAGGGGCCCTTTAGGGTGCAGAGGATCAGTTTGTTTATTGAATTCAATGGAGTCATTCCAGATTTAATGCTAGTCCAAAACACAATCAAACTTGGGTGAAAATGCATTCAATAGGCTGCAGGGAACAGAAATGTGTGAGTTCTCAATTCACTGACCTTCTTTGTAACCTTAATGTGTATCTACTGGCTATGTAAGTGTTCATAAAGTAACACAAATGACTGGCCAGGATCAGCTACGAAGCACACAGTTATAAATCCTGATGAAGGGTAGTGATTACTGACTGGTATTTACTTTACCTCTGTTATTTTAGTTACACCTTCTAGTACATTTCTAAATAAATACCCTTCTTGCTTTAATATTTAAAGATCTCTTGCACAAGCAGACATCATGTTATATGTCCATTCATGTGAAATCTTGTAACCCACATAGATGTATTTAATTATTCAAAAAATCACAACTTGTAGCCCATTATCAATTTTCTGTCATCTAAATTTGCTCCATTATCACAGCATTTTTCTGTTAAAGTTGTTTCTTGGATTAGATTTACCATTCAAGAAGCAATCTTATGGGGGTGTACAATTGAGGACTATGGTACCCTTGTTCTACGTTAAGCCAGGCCTTAACATATTTCTCTATAGTCTCTCTGCATCTGTACAATAGTATATTGAAAACATATCTCACTTGATCTTCACCGTCACTCCTTGGCCTCCTTTGGTGCTGTTTTCCTGGCTTCTGCTTTCCACTGTGTATTTGTGTTTCAGGTTTCTTTACAGCTGCCTTGTATTTTTCTAAATTCTGTCTTTCTTGATATTATAAATATATTATAAATATTATATTATTCTGTGCCTCCTGATATTGTAAGCAATCTCTCTTTATGGTATTTTTTTTTCCCTGGGTCATATTCTATGCCCTCAGTGGTAATTTTTGTCTTTTTCTTATTGGCATTATCTTAAAATTTCAATAATATACTATTTTTTCTATTTTCCACATTATATAAAATCACTCTTAACCTCCAGTCCCTAATTTTGTGTCACAACATGCTCTCCCTGTATCTCTATGATTCTTCTCATGTCACTATACAGATTTCTAAAGAACAGGCTGCACATTATAGCACAAAAAATTGGTTGTTTAGACACCAGTCTCAAAGTCACAAATGCTTTCAAGTGGATAAAGGGCGAAGTCTGAGGAATGCTAAAACCATAGCGCTTGCTGAGTGACAAGGAGTGACCGGAGTGCATGAGTGACAGGCTGGTTTGCTGCAAACCCCGAGTCGCTCCAGAGAGCAAGGAGCTTGCCGTGCCTTGGCTGCTCCCACTTTCTCATTCCATTCATGGGCAGCTATCTGACAAACGGAGGGAGAATCCAGCTGCATGGCATTTGGTGTGTGCAGATGAGGAACAAACCCGGTAGCGACTCAGGATCTCCTGGGTTTGACTCCAAGCACAGTGACAACTTGAAGTACAGAGCTCAGGTACCCCTCTGCACTGGGCCAAACTGGCTGAAGAAAGATACTCGGGAAGGATAGGAACTCTGTGATGGAGGCAGACAAGAACAGCACACAAAATTTTCTTCAAGGAGGCAGGTAAATGGTAGGTTTTGTGACCAACATTTTTTCAGACAGATTTCCGCAGCTATTTTGCATGCTTTTTTAATTCATAGTTTTGCCAAGCAGGAGTAGTACAACTAATAGTAGTATAGTAGTACAACTAATATCGGCTCCTACAAATCACTGGTGTATAAATGAGTCTGAGTCGATGGAGTTCTGCTAAGTGCCTGACTGAAATCAGCATGCTGTGCTTTGCTGGCCCGGCATCATGCTGCTGGTGAGGACATGACATGCATCGGCCCTGCTCATGAGTTATTAAGCAGCCAGTTCAAGACTGGCAACTGAACAGAGCTGCCTACAGCCTCACCAGACTGCCTTTCCTTCTTGTATTTCAGCATTGCTTGTAAAATTTCTCCTACTTTGTATCCCTTCTCCATTGCTACTGATGAGAGTTTCTGAAGCTGCGGAAAACCAGAAACAAAACAGAAGTGTGTTATACACCAGAAGTGATAACACAGGTGTGATACACCAGATGTACTGATAAGGTCAATTATTTTTAAAGAGGAACTGAAGAGTCTGTGCACATGCAAGTGTCTCTGTGTGTGAGTGAGCACGATGTAGCAGATGCATCTGAGTCCTCTATTTCCATCCTGCTGTTGGAGGCTTATGTTCTCCATGGATGGATTCTGTAAGAGTCTGCCAAGCAGAATGATTACAAGAGGTGAAGAGCTGCTGCCTGCTAGATCATTAGTAAAGGGGAGAAGACTCCAGAAACAACTCAGATTGCTCTTCATTGTCCAAGTTGAAAGACATATAATAAACACAGAGTGAAAAGTAATTTGGGATTCTGAATTATTTGGATACTGAGAATCCATAGCAATTCAGTAACATGGGTAAAAATGTTCGTGAACAACTCATAATGTTTATAATGTAAACATATCTTTATTAAAATGGCATTGCCATTAGAACATTTCTGAATGTACACATCTTTTAATTTATGTAACAAATGTTGAAAGCAAATGTATTTGTTACTTTTAAAATTACATCCACTGTATTTGCGGGAAATACAGCATATAAGATAATTTTGCACCACCTTTGTGCTGGACTAAAGGTACGTATTTTTCTGTACATCTTTACTTCCTGTTAGTTTACTATTTTGTAACAAGGCAGTAGATCAGTAGTAGCCCACATTGCTACTCAGGGCACTAGCTTAAAAAGAGAAATGTCTAGAAAGGATTTTCTTGAGAAAAAGATTTTTGCTCCCCGAAAGGCAAGAAGATTGGGGAAACCAACATTCTAATTTCTAATTTCTGCCTCATTTATTCATGCACTCATCGCCACCTGAGAAGTAGAGCGCAGGCACACCTGCCTAAGAGGCAATCATTCGCTGCAAGAGGGCTCAGAGCTATTACATACATTTTCAGAAAGATTCTGATTCACCGCTACCACCCTGTGTCCTGATACAGTACCTTCACTGGATCCAGCCACAGAGTCAGTGGTTCCCATGACCTTAGAGCCTAGTGATCCTGTGCCATCCTCCCTGCTCCTCAACTCCGCCAGAAGTGATGCAGGGTTGCTGTATGTAACTGTCATAAGACACAGCTTTAGCACTGTACCCACCAGACTGCCAATAAATTGTGCACTGCTGCTGTCTTCTCTGCTCAGGTCAAGTTGATCAGTAAGCATTTTAGTCAGTCCAGATATGGCCTCTTCACAGGATTGCTCAATGTCTCAAAGGCCAATATGTCCCTTAGTGGTTTTGCCAGTATTTTGGTTTGTTTCATCAACAATTGGATTTCCAGGCTGACCTTCTACTTTGCAAACAAAAACACCTCTTCTATTTTTGTTTATTAACTTCCAGATTAGAATTAACATAGCACTGGATATGTAATTTTCAGGCTTCTGCCTTTCAGGTCTGACTTCTGTGAATCTGGTTCTTCATCTTCTTTTGATGGATCTTGACACCCTTCTGCAAATGTTTGGAAGGTGGGATCATGGGGCCCCTGTAATAACGCAAAGGTAGTGGGACCTGCTTTGCTAGCATTGCCACCGTTGCTTTCTTGTTGGCATTCTTCTGCTAGATTAAATGACACTCTATGGGCAATAATGCAATCATAATCAAGCCAATGAATCTGGTAACATTTTGGCTACATCCCAAAATATCTGAACTCCACGGCATGTTCTTTGGTGATCTTGTTTCAGCTTCCCTTCCTGGTTATGATTTTGAGCATTGGCTGCATTGGTTTTGGTTTTCATGCCAGAGGGTAAACCCTTGCTTAATAATGTGGTTACCCACTGCGTCTGCACAGGTCATTTCTTTTTCTTTTGGCAATGTTTCAGTCCTTGTTGCTGCAAACCTTCATTTTGAGCCTTTGCATCTGTTCTTGAACCTGTTTTCAGAGAGGCATATGCTAGACATTACCTCCTCCAGGTTTTTGCACTATCAAGGTAGAACGCAAATGATTCAACATTGCTTGTACAATTTCTGCAGCCTTACAACTACCTAGGGTGAACAGAATCAGCTTCACTGAAGAAGCAAAATCTGAATTAGTCAAGAGTTTACCGGCTACGTCATGTAAGTTTTTCATAGAGGAGTCTATTAAGACTGAAACCACAGCCTTAGAGTGCTTCAGTAACACGTTTTCAGCATGATACAAGCTATATTTGAGTCATCTGTCTGACTTTCCATGGTCTTTATAACTGAAGACCACCATGACTGAAACCACATTATTTGCATAAATTAGTATCTATTTGCTTAAATTATTTGCAAACTCATCTTGGCCAAAATGTTTTTGTGATGGTATTTTTCCTTCTCTTGTTGAGCTACTCTTCTCTTCTAGAAAAGCTCATTTCTACTGGAAGACCAGTGTTTTTTCTTCATAGAAAATGTCTTCTTGGAAGGTGGACTCTCTTCATATTTGGTTTCTTTCTTATTGACATGAGTAACATTTGCTGATGGATTATTTTTATCTTTATTTGTACTCAGTTCAATGGATTTATGATGAGGTTTTCCAAGAACAGCAAAACATGGGCCAGGGCCATCTGACTTTTCATTAATCTCTTTATGAACCATTGCAATGACAAGGTTAGAGAGTCTGTCAGTATAAAAGGAAACCTCTTCTAATTTTTATGTGCCTTCAAGTAGTGGCCTCATCCCCTGCGCCCTTTGGCTTCTTTGGATCTGGAGTGGCTTTCATCTTCAAGTGAAAATCCGGTGGCACAGTGCTGGATCTCATGTCCACAATAATATGTCTGCCATAGACATAGAATCCTCCTGGTGATACACTGCACTGTTTGAAGCTCTGTCCCTCAGCAGATGGTTGTCTTGAATTTCCATGGCCCTTACGCTTTTCAGCACATCCTCAATGCTGAGTACATACCTTTCAGGGTCTTTCTGAAACCAGCTCAAGATTTTGAGTGGATCAGATTCCTGAATCAGTCCCAGGAATAAAACAAAATGGAAATGCATAACAATTCATTATCCACACCTTTGTCCATTGGCACAAAGGATCTTTCCACATTAAGGAGTCGCGTATGAGTACGAGGTGAAATTCCGATTGGTCTTGGTGACTACAGAGAATCAGTATGTATACCGATCTCAGCAGTATGTTGTCAATGGCAGCAACTAGCTCCAGCAGTGGCATAAACTATGTGAATACTAACATGAATAAAGTTTAGGTGGTTTTGCCATCATGCCACTAAATCTTGCCTTATTGTTTCTGTTGAGGGCTACTGTTGCTCCATAAGTGATGGTTACTGCTATCTGATAGGCTCTACTGCAGCCTCATTACTGAGGACACTTCTAATTTCAGGTTAGATTAAAAACATAGACTCTAAATCCCTACTCCTCTGTGTTTTTACTTCTTACAATCAGTGTACAGTCAGTCAGCTACTCCAATTGTGTATCTTTCCACAGAATGAAGGAGACATACATTATAAAGGAAAGAGGGACAGGAGAAGCCCAGAATGCTGAGGGGATTTATGGAAAGGTATCTTGGAGCATTTTGCATTTTCTGAACCTGTCTGGGGACAAAAAACAACTAGTCTTTTTGCCTAGCATTGCTCCTGAGTCAGCATCTGCAGCAAGATTGTATGAAAAATTGTGTACATGTCAGTATAAACAGAGCAGCGAGTGCTGGGAAAAATGTGGGGACACAGCATGTGAGTATGTCATATGTCCACTCCTTCTTCCATTTCAGAGGCAGCACTAATTCTAGTGGCAGAATTTCCTGGGCTCATCCCCTCTGAAAGTCTAAAAATGGCTTTGGCATAAGGAGAGTTTGCATCTGGAGAATATCTTTTACACTTAGTACTGATGCAAGCATAAGTTTGTGGTAGACTTCAAAATTGCGGGCATAGCTACAGGTATGCTCATCAAGATAGGCATGAGCTTATTCATGTATTTCTAGCTCAGCTAGGTAACAACAGAATGGCAGGGACCTGATTTAAGCTGCTAGAATTCAAGATAAGCCATTTTACCAGTGGCACCCTCATCTGCACAGTATTTCCATGGACCCAGTAGAAATATGAGGCAGCTTAACAGCTGTGCCACTCCTTATTGTCTGAAAGCTTACATTTTTTCCGACTGGCATTAAAAAATATCTGGGTCTCTCTGACTGCACGTTTCCAGTAGCTGAAACAGTCAGTATGTTTGGCATCTATTTCAGTGGTCAGTGGTGTCTTCTCAGCTAGAAACCTTCCATGCTGTGGCTGTGCCACAAATGATTACCTTACTCCTTATGTTTCTGTCACAGAGTATGGGTTTACATGCCTACCTGGCTGCTTGAATGTTGTAGACTTTTTATTTACCCTGGCTTGCACCAGTGGACATAGGATAAAGAACTGGAATCCTTCACTATGTTCCATTTTATTGTCTCATCTCTCCTCTTTTAGTGAGTCCTTTGAATAGAGTGCTCTCCTTTCTTCGTCCTTCCTCAGACTGGCTCCTTTCAAACTCCACCACCTTTTCTGTTGTTTGTGAAAGATGTATATATATTGCAAGCTGAAACAGCAGAGATTATCATAAAGGTTCAGTGGATAAAACATTATTTGTCCATGGCTGCCTCTTCTTCTTTCCACCTCTTATTCCTCTCACCTGTTCTTTCTTCTTTAATTTCTACTTAGAAATGGGATTTTCCAGTTATCCTATATCTAGTTTTTCTCTAAAGCCATTGCAAACAATCCACAATGCAGTTTTGCTGGTTTTTTTCCTATCAATCTTTGTATCAGTATTTGGAAGTTAAAAAAACCCCAAACATTCTGTTAAACTCAGAGTATGCGGCTGCATGAATTTGAAGAGATAGAAAATTAGTACTGTCAAAGACTGTTCAGTCAAAATTTTGAATATGTGATCGCTACACAGAGAATGCAGACTGAACTATACATGCTTCTAGAAATACTACATCCAAGTCCTCATATACAGGAAATGAACATTTATAGTTCCTCTGGTAAGAAAACAGAGCACCTTTGCTGAGTGGTCTGGAAGAGCTAGTCTAGACTTACCGAGGTCTAGCTTCAACTCAAAATTACTTGGTTTGGGTTTGCACATTAAACCTTAATTCAGATACTCCTGGCTTGTGCCAAGGATAACGTTGTTAAGCACTGAGGAACATAGTCTGAAAAAGTATGCAATGGTTTACTTTGGCTGATAAGAAAACATGTATATATCAGACGAGGAATTCTAAGTCTCAGTTCTCTGCATGTGCTTACCCAATTTACAGTACAAGAAACTGAAGAATTTTGCTTTCCCTTATTTAGACAACAAATTCCTTACTGCAAAGCACCAGTAACTACCGTATGTAAGCAACAGGAACATTCCTACATTCAAGAGATGGCCATCCTAGAATTAAGCAGTGAGAAGAATCCAAAGTTGTGTTGCACATGTACAAACATTTGGTATTTGGTAGCAGAAAGCGTTCCTTTTATTAGCAAATTTAACAAGGAAAAGGTGTAACTTTCTTTAAAATATTTAACCAGACACAATACTCTTTTGCTTTCTTGGGTGTTTTTTCTACATGTAGATGCATATACAAAATAATTAAAACTCTGTCTCACCTCCAAGAATATAATGATCCACTTCACAGTGCACTCTGGCTCTGCAGCCAGTCAGTATTACCAGATATCAATGAGTAAAAAAATAAAAATCCAAGAAAGGCATGGATGTGAAAAGAAAAGAAGCGTTTGCAGTGTGTAGTGAACTATAGTAATATGAGGTTTTCAATTTTTCATCAAAGTCAGAATTTAATTTGGTAGCTTTATATTTTATTTGCATTTATGGACAGACTTACACACTGGAACACAGATTTTTCAGAGAAAATGAAAGTCTTCCCAAAATCTCAGTCTGAATTAAAATACAAGCATCAAAAATAAAAAAAGCTTTTGTAGGCTGAGCTTGCAGTTTTTTAAATTCATGTGAGCAAGTGTATTACACACAGATTTCTAAAGGAGTAGAAAGTTGTAATTTAATGCCTTACTTCCAGAAAATGCCTCTTGCCTCTCCAGTTTTTGAAATAACTTATCTTTTTGCTCCTGCAACAGGTTGAAAGATTGTGATTTTCCTCAGCATTTTCAAGAAAAACTCCTGTAGGCAGCCATATATAATTGGAGTCTAAAATAGACAAAAATTGTTTTTAAGATATCTTTGTGAATTGCAACACTAGCACTCTACTTTTGCTAATTTTTTTCTTTACTAGGGGTGTCATAATGCGTTTGAGAACAGCATAAATCAAATGCAGCAATATTATTAGTATTTGGAAAATCTTGTTAGATGCTGAAATAGTAACTGAGGAGTGTGAAAAGAGAAAGGCAGCAAAACAAGAATCTATCAAATTATCTTTTGTTCTCATTTGGTAAAAAGTGACAGCTTAGACATAGATAATCTGCTGGTTTTGATCAGGCTTTCATTTAGTCCATGAATTTGCATGAATTTGCTGAAGCAAGGTACTCCAAAAGTCTAACCTTGTACACACTGAGGTATCTATCTACCTTCGCAGGTACATACGCAGTAGCTCTGATACATCTTTGAAAATCAACTTTTGCAGAGAGAGCATCCACTTTGCTAAATATTAATGATAGTCTCTTCTTTTTGTAGCATGTATAATTCAAATGCCAACTGCATTTCATGATATACAAAATACTTTTGCCCCAATAACCTATGTTCATCTTTCTCCAAAGGAATTTTCTGGGATTTTTTTTCCATTTTCTATATAAACTACCCTGTAACAATTGCAATTACATCCAAGTACAAACTGAAATATAATTAACTGAGCAGATATACCACTGGTGTTATTCAACGGTGTTGAGAAAGAGTTGGGCTCCAAAGTTTTAAATGCTCCAGATCTTTCAAAGTCTTATGCAGGTGGTTAATTTTACAATTTGGAAGATTTTCTGTTTATTTCAGTGAGCCTGTCCACAAAGGGTACTTCAGCAAAAGTTCACGTTTGAAAGACAATGCTACAGCATTCACATAACACATAACACATAACACATACTCTACTGAACTTATGAAATCTCATTTTTAAAAAAATATCACAAAATGCTGCAGAAATTATAGTCTGCAGAACTACTGCTGCAGAATTTGGATTAATTTTTCTGCAAAGGCTTGGTTATCAATACAGTGAAATAGCGGAAGATTGTCAACTGCATAGTTGTTCTCTTTCCATGGATGTTTTTAATGTTACAAAAACCACCTAATATTACTAACAGTAGCCATGAGGGGAGTTCAAATTCTCTATTAAGTATTTAGTAAATTTGACATATATTTGTATTGCTTTTTTAATCGTATAATCTTTTATTAGATGAGACATCCAATTTCCTACTTTATTTGAGTGTTCCATATTGCTAGAGGTGGGACAAAATGCTTACAACTTGGATTACAAAATCCTGATAAGGAAATCTCAGGAACGGATATGATGGCACCTATAATTATTTTTATTCATTTTACTTTGGAAATGACTAATTTTCAATTTAACTGTGTCCTTTTAAATTAGGAAAAAACCCAGCTCAATTCATTCCACCCAGTTTATAGTGGCATGAAGCCTACCTTGCTGGATAGTAAAGGGGACCAAGAACAACAGTCCTGTCAGTGCAATTCAGCAAGAGAATAAATGGGAATGGGAAGC